GTCGCCCGGTTGTCCGCCCGTTGTAGTCACCACTGCATCAACTCCAATCGCCGTCGGTGAAGGAAGTGTGACAACTCGACAACCCAACCCAAATTTTTTGGGTTGGCCATCAATTTGGGTTGGGTTGGGTTCCATATATCGCCAATCCGAAAATTCGGGTTGGGCCCAAAAAACTCCCTAACCCAATTCAACCAAACTCGTGAACACCCCTATTTTATAGTTCATGGAATTAAATGAACTCCACTCTTATGAGTATAGTTTAAACAGTGAAGATATTGCTTACCTATTTTATGTTGGAGGTATTAGACTTGAGAGTAGATTAGAATGTGCATTAACTTCATTAATGAAGTAAGGTCCATATATATAGACCATCAATACAGAAGTTAGTTATACAACTTGAATATATCAAACTAAATAATTATTACAAACATATTAATAAGTCTAATACTCCCTCTCAAGTTGGAGCGCAAGGATTAAGGATGCTCAACTTGGATAACAGTAATGAAAACATAGGCAGAGGAAGGGCCATGGTGAACAAATCAACGAGTTGCAAGGCAGATCGAACGGACAACAACTTGATGGAACCATCACTGATTTTACCATGAACAAAGTAACAATCAATCTCTATGTGCTTCGTACGCTCATGGAAAGCGGGATTAGAAGCAATATGAATTGCCTCCTGGTTGTCACAAAATAGCAAAGTATGCAGAGTAGGAGAAACCTTTAAATCAACCAAAAGATATGAGAGCCATACAATCTTGATAGTAACCACAACAAGAGCCCGATACTCGGCTTCAGCGGACAAACAGACTATTTCTTAGCTTTCCAAGAAACCAAAGAATCACCCAAAAATATACAAAAACCAGTTGTGGATTTTCGATAATCAACATAAGAGGCTCAATCAGCATCTGCAAACGCACGTAGCTGAAGAGATGATGAGCGCTGAAGAAAAATACCTTGGCTAAGACTACTCTTAATTTAGAGAAGAAGGTGATGAGCAGCTGCCAAATGAGGTTTATGAGGAGAAGCAACATACTAACTCAACTTGTAGATAGTGAAAGCAATATCAGGGCGTGAAATAGTGAGATAAAGAAGTCGCCCAATAAGTCTTCGAAAAGAGGTTGAGTCATCAAGAAGCTCTCCATCAGAAGCATTCAACTTGAAAGCAGGATCCATTGGTAAAGAGGCTGGCTTAGAGGCTAACAAACTAGAATCCTCAAGAAGCTGTGAACGAGCTAATTCCAATCCTAAAAAATACTTCAAAGATCCCAAGTCCTTCAACCGAAAAACTTCATTAAGATAGACTTTCAATGAAACAATAACAGAGGCAGAAGGTCCAGCAATAATAATATTGTCCACATAGAATAAAAGAGCAACAAAGTTTTCACCAGAACCTCTAGTAAACAAAGTGTAGTCAGACTTAGCTTGATGAAAGCCAAGAAGTAAAAGAGCTTGGAAAAACTTGTCGAACCACTATCGAGAGGCTTGTTTAAGTCCATAGATAGACTTATGAAGTTTACAAACAAGTTTCTCCCCCTAAGAAGATGTTTGTCATGTTATAACCAATGGGCAAATCTATGTAGACCTCCTCAAATAAGTCACCATGCAAAAAAGCATAGTTGACGTCAAGCTGAACAAGGACCCAATTAAAAGAAGTTGCAAGGGTGAGCAACACTTTAACAGTGACTAATTTTGTAACCGAAGAAAAAGT